CCGCACTGGAACAGGCGACCGTCATTTTGCGGTACTTCCTAGGTAAGCTTGTTGTCGATGTTCTACTATCATATTTAATCCATGACTTCCAGGGGCAGGGAGGGTTTCGCTTGCAAAGAACCTGATGGAGGTGCTTCCTCGTGAACTCGCCTCCATCGACCAGCCTGAGGAACGAGCCACAGAATACCTTCACTACAGGCAGTTCTTCACTATCTGGGACAGTCTTGACCGTGTTGTGCAGTGCCAGGGTCTAGAGGTGTCGATAATGAACCGGGATACGAGGGCCGCTTGGCTAAGCGACTACAAAGGACTTATCGACCAGGCTCACGATGCCGTCGTGAAACTACTCACCTCGGATTGGATGATGCCTGACGACACAGGAGATCGCCGTTCCCGCGAGCTAACTCGCGTTCGGCAGATATACGTCCCCGAGCTTGTACTACGACTGCATGCCATGCTCTATGCCTCTCGAGAGCATGTCCCAGAGTAAGCATGTCTTCGCATACAGTGTCTGCAGCTCTAATACATCTTTTTCAGAAATTTGAAGCGCGCATTGGAGCTTGCTAACATTGTTGCGGATTCGAGGTACAAACTATATGACGATTTCTTGCATCTCGATGGCCGAAGGCTTGGGGAGTACCTTGACGCTGTGCGCCGGGCGACGATAGCTAGCTTGGACGGGGGCGGATCGGATCCTTTCAAGATTTTTTTATTGTAATTTATCTTTACAAGTTGCCCGAGGCCTAATTCCAGACTGTTTACGAATATCAATAGCATGAAGGCTGAATGCTCACAGTCAAGTGCCGTTTGAGCTAGCTCGCGAGCCTGCGAGCAAGCAAAGCTCAACAAGTGCTTACTAAGCAAGTGAACGATCTAATAACTTCAATAAGTTGATATGCACGCATCTTGCTTCTTCTCTTCATCTCTCGCTCACTCGTCTTCTCGAGTTCTGGCGCTTCGCACATCTGACAAAATGCGTCCGACCTGGTCGTTATCGCACGTCTCTATCCGATCAAAGATGAGTTCTTCTCAGTCCATTCAGTTTATCGGCTTGTAGCCACGACGAGTTGAGTGACATAGTATCACACTATTCACGTCAGTGTTTCTACAATCTTCTTACGGCTGCATACATTCACCTTCTCGTTTTATCTTCTTCGTGATAATACATCATGTGTCCATTAATGCCTCGCATTTGAATTTTGCTTGTTAAATGTGACGAGCCCTCGACGAGGAGTTTTATTCGACTGCGTTATGCTTTGATATAGGATCTCCTCCGGCGCATTGGCAGCCTCTTGCTCGCCTTGGCACATATACTTTGGCGCTCATCTACACGCTGTGGCGTCTGTGCTTCGGCACCCACAGACCCAGTCCCTCGAAGCTATTGACACGCTTCGGCGCGCTCGTGCTTATTTAGTGGATTGCTATTTGCACGATTCAGCGATCGCACTTCAGAGCTTGCATTTCACTTGCAGCGCATATACTCAGTCTTTTGTATGCTTTCCTCTTATCGTGTTTAGACACATCATCTGTAGTGGATCGGTAGCCATCCGCGCGGTTCGGAGTGTCTATTCTGGAGCACACACTTTGGCAGCCGTCTTCACACTTCAGCAATCGTGCCTCGGCCCTTGAACTTCATTCACAGCGCATACATGCTGTATTTTCAGCGCATATATCCAGTCCTTTACGTGCTTCCAATGTCTTTCTCCCCTTTAGACTGCTACCTCCGCTTCAAGCCATTTTTAGCTTCCTTTCTCTTGATGTACACCTGTCACCTGGAGTTCGCTCATCTGCGTTTTGCGTGGTGGGGTATCTCTCGGAAAGGCATTTGCACAACCACAGCTGTGGATGGTTTACTTTCTTTTACATCGTGCTTGGCTGTCACGAGTACGCGCGACCGCGACGGTGGGTCGACACCTCTTCTCTGTTGGTCGTGCATGACCGCGTAATGCGGGTCGATGCCTTCCTCTTTTGGGTTGTGCATGACTGCACTTGCGCAGATCGATGCCTTCCTTTCTTTGCAGGAGTGTGCGTGACCGCGACGGCGGGTCGACGCCTCTCCTCTGTTGGTCGCGCATGACCGTGTAACGCGGGCCGATGCCTTCCTCTTTTTGGGTCGTGCATGACTGCACTGGTGCAGATCGATGCCTTCCTTTCTTCGCAGGAGTGTGCGTGACCGCGACGGCGGGTCGATGCCTCTCCTTTTGGTTGCGCATGACCGTGTAACGCGGGCTGATGCCTTCCTCTTCTGGGTTGTGCATGACTGCACCTGTGCAGATCGATGCCTTCTTCCATTGCAGAAGTGTGCGTGACCGCGACGGCGGGTCGACACCTCTTCTCTGTTGGTTGTGCATGACCGTGTAACGCCGACCGATGCCTCCCCCCTGGTGGATTGCTCATGACTGCACTTATGCAGGTCGATGCCTTCCTTTCCTTACAAGAGCGCGCGTTATCGCAATGGCGGGTCTACGACTCATTTCTGTTGTAAATACCTCTCTTTTGCTTAGTATCCTGTTCAGCACTACTTTGTGCTTTCTGATACCTGTTTCGCTTCATGTCGTCCGGCCCCCTTCTATTGCTCTAGACACTGGTTTTGGAACTCGATTGCGTCGGCCACCTGTTCTACGGTGCTGCGCCTCCTTATGGGACTGTGTGGCTGCTTTCTTGTAAGGCTGGTCGAGGTATGTGCGACCGCCGGAGGAGGGACCGACTCTCTTCATTCGGACCATTGTTACTTGTTCGCCGGCGGTACATGTGTTTCGCTATCACCATTCCTTCCGCCAGATTCATTGGCATCTGTTTATCACCTTCGACTTTCATTTCACTTAGAGGATTTTTATCTCGTCTACCTGGATATTTGTACCATTTTACTGTTTTGTACACATTAGCACTCAGTGCCCACAAGGACACTGCGAATAGTGTCCAAGGTGACAGAAGGGGTGACCGCTGGTAATTTCACTTGATCGCGACTCACCCCTACACTACATATATCGTGTAGCGTAGAGTCATCTGGAACCGCGCGTACTCTGCAAACATGGTGCCTCGGTTAGCTTAGAAAACCGACTTTCAATTATATGTTAATTTCCCACGTCAATAATCTTCAAGCGCTTCGTCTTGTCCGTGTGCGTGAGCGACGCCTATGGCATCGTTGGCGTTGGTTCTTCGCGTCACAATCGCTCTTAGCACTCAAGGATTCTTCCAGCCAGATGAATACTTCCAGGCGTTAGAACCCGCCCACCACTACGTCTTTGGATATGGACACCTCACATGGGAGTGGGTTAGCCCAGCACCCCTTCGGAGTATCATCTACCCTGCGTTGAATATACCTCCCTTTTGGCTTATAAAAATACTTGGCCTCGATGCAAGATACCCTGAGTTACTCGTGAGCTTTCCATTTATTTTGCCATTCTTTAGCCTCATTCGACGAGTCAGATAGCTGGCCCACGCATCGTCCATGGTTTGTTGGCTGCTATCACAGATATATGGATCCTTAAAATTACAAGGCAAGTTCTCGACGATACGTTTGTACCAACTGCAGTGCGATTTCTCAAAACCGAGCGTAATTGACGACTGAATTGATCTCCTGCAGTACTTCGTCTCTCTGACATCTCTGTTCCACTCATTGTCGCTTTCACGTTCCATGTCGAACTCCCTCGAAACGTCATTGACGACAGTTGCACTAAGCTACTATCCTTGGAACAATACGCGGTCCATGCAGGTGCAGTCGTCAGTCGCCCAAACTGGCCGTTATTGTGACAAGACATCTCATGTAAGGAACAGGACAAGAATGCGCATGTGCATTGTGTTCGCCGCGCTGGCGTGCGCAATAAGACCAACCAATTCTATCATCTGGGTCTACATGTTTGGCCTTCTCTTCCTGCGTCTCGGGCTTCGCCTGAGTCAGGGGTTCATCCTTATTCGCGATTGTTGCGTTATTGGGTTGGTCGCATTCGTCCATTTGCGCGAAAACCAACTCATAATTTTCAGAGCCGCGACTATCCTGGCAGTCTTTGCACTCGATTCAGCCTTTTATGGCAGGCCTGTGCTAAGTTTGTTAAATTTTCTGCGAGTTAATGCGTCGCCTGTATCATTGTTCTACGGCTCCAACCCTTGGCATTATTACATGTCACAGGCCCTCCCGGTTCTCTGTTCTACATCCTTGCCATTCGTGCTGCATGGTATGCTCCTCGCAGTGAAGAACGATGAGAAAAAACCGAAGACAATGCTCGGCTGTATCTTGTGGACATTGACGATATTCTCATTTGTTGGACATAAAGAATGGCGTTTTCTCCACCCGCTCCTCCCAATGTTACACATCTTTGCATCAAGGTCCCTAGTGGAATTGTATCATCGCCGCGCGAAAGCCGAGGTCAAAGTTCCCCGGGAAATGAGAAAGAACACAATAGCCAAGACCTTCTTACTCCCAATTCGCGCTCGAGATCTGTGCCTTCTCTTATTGGCCGTCCCAGCCTCGATATATGTGGTGTTCTTCCATTGCGTAGGACAAATCAAAGTCATGTCGTATTTGCGGAGCTTACCTCCCGAGAACCTGACGTCCGTGGGGTTCTTGACACCTTGTCATTCAACCCCGTGGCAGGCCTACCTTCACCGGCCCGAGCTTGCAACTACCGGGAGAATGTGGGCTCTTGGGTGCGAGCCGCCATTGGGGTAAATAATCACCATTGTCATAATTTTCGCTTGGATTTGATGTTTTGTACTCAGACTTCAACATCCTAGCGACTACAAGGACCAGACAGATATCTTTTTCGAAGCACCTTTGGAATATATGCGAACACATTTTCCGTCGCATGTGGACACTTCGTACCCCCCTTCGGACTTCGCTTCATCAGTACCAAACATCACATTCGTTGAGACACTTCAGGTTGTTGAACAAAGTTCACGATCTTGGGATTTAGGCTGGCGGCATGAGTGGCCACAATATATAGTACTGTTTGGTGCGCTTTTACGGGAGCCAGGCGTGTTGGACCTATTCCGGAATCAGGGTTACGAAGAGGTGTGGAAGGGTGGGTTTGAGTGGGAAGGGGAGGGTCAGAGAAGGGGTGCTGTTCGGGTTTGGAAACACATCCGTTGAATTCATCCTCAGCCACAAAAAATCAGATCGCCTGACGCATATGATTGGACATGAAAATGATGATTGGGTGAGGGGAGCAATCCAAAGAATGTAAAAGATGTATCTGGGAAATTAATACGGCTACACGGCGTGCCGGGTGGCCAAATGTCCACCGGAGTTCATCTACTTTGCATTCTGACGTTGCATGCGAGTGAGCTGTGATGACACCATATGTTAGCAAGGAAGCTGATCTGACGGGGTGATTACTGACTCTGCGACGCTTCTTCAACCTGAATAGGAGAGCAATCAATCAGTCTGTCATTCCTTCACATTGGAGTATGAAACATACTTGTGCTTCTTCATCTTCTTTCGCTTCTTTCGCTTTGTGCTATCAGCGTAGATAGTGACCCACTCCTGTGCAGACTCTTTCGCATTAATTGCGCTACCTTCTGCAGTCTCCTCACTCAAGCCAAGTTTTGCCAAAGTGTTTTGCCAGGACACTATTCCGCCCACGCGGTTCATGACCAATGCATGACCAAGCTGCCTCGCGGCATCAGCATCGGTCTCAAACGAGGATTCTGGCGGCTCGTCGAGAGTAGCAAATTTCCCTGACTGCGATTGAGTCGTTGAAAACTCCTCCGGTGACTGAAAGAATGGCGCATCCTGGGGCGCAGACTCAAAGATGGTAGATGGCGGCTGAGATAAGAGCAAAAGCGGTCGGTGCAATGAGAAAAACTGGTGAAGATTGAAATCCTGTGACGATATTGTGGGATGAACTTGGTGATGGGATTGGTTTGAAAACGCCGAAGGCGACGTGAATGGCAGGGAAGTGTTACTTCGTGCTGCGTCGACCGCGTTCGAGGTTGGAATCGAAGGATTTTCATCTGCACCTCCGACCTTCATCTTGCCATTCCCATTTCCAGAGCTGCTACTGCTTGTTCCATCGCTAGATGCGACGCTGGTGTTTCCGTTGTCAACCTTTGTTCTGCCGGAAGAAACGACAGGCTTGGGAGGTTTAGCGGAATTGAAGTATCGTCCTCCGCCTGGTTTAGACGAGAAAAAAGAAGAATATGCTCTGTAGTTCACCGCTGGCGGTCTGAAAAGACGTGGTAGGAAGGACATAAGGGCCTTCCTTCTAGCGTCTGGCCAGTAATAGTGAAAGGACTTGCTGTTGTGTACTACAAGAGAGTGTTCAACCAAAACGGGATTGTTGTGGCGCAATACTGACAGTGAGTCGGCCGAAAGAGCGTCAAGTTGCAACCTTCCGGATGCCTCCTCACTCGCATGCTCTCTATACACGTTGAACACTGGATACTTAATTAACTGGTCGGACTCTTCAATTTTTTAATATCTGATCAAGCGGGCGTCCATCGGAATGCCTTCGGAAATCGGAAGACGCACACCGTCGTGAGAAAATGTGGGGATATACTGCTGTACTACCACGGCCACCACATACCTGGATTCTTGGCGCGGGGCGCCCGCCGCCTTCTATATACACCAGTCCTATTAATCGTATCGATCAATCTCGTTATGTCCGTTTCTCCTCCTGTATTCAATATCCATACGCCCACATCTTCTTTCGCGCTCATCCACTCTCGTAAGCATTACAACAATATAACACGATGAAACTGATCATCATATGTCCGACAGTCAAAGATAATACCATACAGCAATTGTATGATAAGCTCTCGAGGAAGTCCAACACGGGGTTTCACGGAAATCGCGTTGGTCCCGGTTGGATCAAGTACAATTGGAATGACACCATGTGGAATCTGGATGACGGTATTGATCCTTCTACATCCACTCGCCCTTTCCTTGCTAAAATGCCTTATACAGAAAGTGACTACACCATTTTTGTATGGAGGCATAAAGCACCTTCTACGTCCCAACAACCCACATCCGACATAACGCCAACGCTACACGTTCACGATCCTGCAGCTCAGCTCCCAGAGCCACCTGCGTATTGCAACCCATCCTTTTACCTATTTAGCCCTACACGTGTGACTTCCCCCCGTCCTCGGTCAGCGCGGAGCGCCAAGTCTCACAAGTCTAGGGCATCACTAGATGCCGAAGGGATCTCAGGGGCTGCGAAGCACAGAAGGGATTTTGAGAGATTTCATAGCGAAAATGGTGTACGCACTGTTTTAGGCACTATCGGCCCAGTCGACAATGGTACGCAAGCGCTTGTTCGGTCTCACAACGTGCACTCAGGTTCCATATCGTTATAGTCCGCATGCTCTTGAAGAACGGTTACCGTCACGTCTACATTTCACGAAAGTTTGCGTTGAGGCATGGGTTTATTCCAGCAGACGCAGCGCCAGGGCACTATGGCTACAGTGGCCTTGTCAACCTTGGCAAATGGCCGATCACCTTGAAGACAGCTACAGATTTCACTGATAGCACACAAACTAACAACGTCTCAAGTGCAGCACAAAGCTTGCCACCCAGCAAGTCAAAGACCGTTTCTGTCCCCGTCTTCTTATCCGAGGAGCCGCACTTTGACGTTGTGCTTGGCCGCTCGTTCTTTGAGAAACGCCAAATAAAGACCTCATCTATAGATCCTACCGAGGTTATCTGTCTTGACACAGGGGACAAAATCGAGTGTGAATTGGTCATACTCAAAGATGGTAGGGGTCAAATTGTCACTGTTACATAGTATTTCGATGAATTGGACGTATGATATTAGCAACTGCTGTACACGGAATAATACATATAATACATCACAAGTATGGGTTTTGCTCTGACCAGGTCGCCATAACAGGTCCGCTGTTCCATGTCAGTGTAACAGGATCTGGGATAGAATCTATCTCTTTCACATAATGGATTCCTTCATGAATGTTCAAAATGCCTATGCGATGCCTGTGGATATGAATGTTCGCCACCAACCCAATCGTGAGACAACGTATCACATACTGTTCCTCGATGTGACAAGCCATGCTTCGCAGAAGCTTACCAGCACCCACACTTCGTCGACATAGAAGACATCGATATGTTCTTGGCGGCCTTCCAGATAGGAGGTGCGATTGCAGTCGTGACTTGCTACCTTCAGAAGCTTGATTGTTGTGTAAGTGATTGTGTTCGAGCTGTAAAGGTTTCAGATACCAAAAGTGAGATCAAGAACACAGAACATACACCCTTCCTCCAATGCATGACAGTCTTGCCATCAGGATGGCATGCGAAACAGTAAAATGGAGTGCTTGCTTTGTCCATGTGTGCAAGCGTAGCAGTCCGAGGATCCTGACAGCAACTGCGAATGACATGAATGGCGAGTACTGTGGAAGACCTGAATTTCGGAGACCATGGAGAAGAACCGAGCGAATAATACGCGATGCGGGCCACTTGTTCCTTAAAAGAATCATTCCTTTCTTTGTTTGAGCCCCTTGGAAAATCAAGGCTGCAGTTGTGCGCAACAGCATCGACCCAGAAGAAGAGCTGTTCGCATGCATTGCAGACAAAAACACTGGTTGCAAGTTGGCGAATATCTCCAACTGGTGCATATTCCTTTGGATACCCATTCGTGATGATTGCAGCAAGCTGTTGATCGACCTGTCTCCGCCAGTTCCTTACTAGGTTAGGAAGGGCAACAAAAGCCGGTAAAAAGGTATCACGCTCTACTACGACATGGGCAGGTAATTTGATGATGTCGTCGAAAGGTTTGAACTGCGCAACGTCAGCGATATGAGGTAATACGTCGACGTCAGTATTCGGAAATGACGCAGGTTCAGCCAAGAAATCGATCCAGGCCTGGAGGAGAATCCTCCGACGAGAATTATAGAGCGTTTCTTCCATACGGATCGTTCGCATTTCTGACATATACTCTGTTAGAATTGGGCGAATGCGGCTCCAAACTGTATGAAAATAAATCATTTATAGAGCTTCAAAAAAATCACGAGACCAACTTCGAGTAGTGAGAGGTCGTGAATCTTTGATGGCACGATGTTTGGATATTTTCCACCAAGTATGATAATCGATCTCAGGTTTCCACCCTGCTGTTTCTAACCACTCCTTGATGCTAAAACTAGATGTCAGCGAATATATATGTTAGCGTACGGTTGATCTTACACTCGTTTTCGCCCCTCTCGTATCTGATGTAACTCATCAGATCGGGCCCTATTAACTCCAGAGAGCCATGCTTTGCAAGCATCAGCATGCTTCAAGTCACATCATTTACAATTTTGACACTCGAGTGAAGTGTGGCGTACCTCACGAGTAGCACGCATGGCCTTCTTTGTGTCTTCGATGACTAGCGTTTGTTCGTCACAGTCTAAACCGTTGAGCCTCAGACTGAGAGCCTCGTACTGCGATGTCTGGATCATTTCCGTGAACCCTATCCGTTATCATTATCAACCGGACCGGAGCATGAGAGATGGTACTCATACGTAAGCGCAAGTCACGGAAAATATATGTTGGGAGAAGTTCAGTTATGTTTGGACAAAGTCGAGTGATGACGGGTTTTGAATATGCTGGCTCCATACTGAAAGATAATATTCATTTAGAGTAAGAACGTGCAAGAGAACTTCGTACTTTATATGGATTCTCAGACATGGCCCGCAATATTTTACTCGAAACTGCCAGATGATGTTAAAACCGATTGCACGGCAGTTCTGTACGTTTGGTGTTGGAGGATGTCTTTATGGAAAATATGGAAGATGACCCACGTGACAGTGTGGATCAAACGCAAGGCAAGCATACTGTGGCTCACTCAAATCTGGTGGACATTCGGGAAGGTTCGGGATAAGTGACCGGGAGGCTCTCCAAATGAAAGCATTTGATTTTCGCATAAGTAAATTCCGAAATGCTTTAGAGGTACGAGCTAGATTGAGGAGGTCAAGCGGTTTCAGAAACCCAAAAATCTGTTGCGATGGATGATGATTGAGCTGGACGTTATACGCGAGAAGTGAAGCTTACCTCGAAAAGAACATCCAAGTTAATGGTGGGTAGGAGGGAGAGACCTCCTTTCCTGGCTCTCGACCTGACTGGCTTGGTGTCCTGAGCTTCTACTAGTAGGGATTCAGAGCCTTGGGAATCTTCGTATCTGGGTCTCTTCATCTGGTCTGCAACATGAAGAAATGTCAGCAAAATGTAAATGTGGTCATGAGGAGCAACTCACGCAAGTGAAGTCGCTTTGGAGACGTCATTGAAAAGGGTGTCACAGGGCCGTAGACCGCCGGGGGACAGGGCGACCTCGGAATAGTACTCAGGGCACTCCGCAGGGTAGCTATAGGATACCGAACAAGGATAAGAGCGGTGTTTTCAAGCAAACTATGAGAGGGAGTCGAGTAGTAACTGAGTACGATGGGGGATGTTTAAGTATTGGAGAGAAAGCATGGAATTCGCGCTGCATGATTATATGGTACTGATTATCATTGACGCATGTCCTTTGTTAACTTTAGCTTAAACAGCACCTCGCTTAGTAAGCAAGACTTGATCTTGCCGCCTGCCACACCTATTTGAATCGTCCTAAGTGTGGCAGAATGCTACTACCAAATTAGGATACACATCCGGCTCGAATTGAGAAAACAAATATTACCCAGGTTGTTCCGCGGACCTCGATGCTAGTCACTTTCCTAATTTGGCATGACACATATTTGCAAGAATGGCGAATGAGCCACACCTCATATATACAGCGTAGGTGGAAAATCGCAAGCAAAATTTCAGCTAACCAGTCACAATGCAATGGTGGATGAGTGCTGAATCCTGAAAAACTTGACGTGTGTGAGAATATCAGAACCTCGAGGTCCACGGCTAACTGCCGAGCATCGAAGGCACGGAGCTCAATATCAAGACATCTTGGGACGAAAATACTACCTAGCAAATAAGGCATTGTGCCACATAACAGTAACTGTTTCAATAAATGTACGACATGATCATTGCTGTGGACCCCGCGTCAGATGAGTGTAATCTCTCGGATATGACCCCTGGAAATGATCACACGATCATTGTCTAAAGGTTCTCCGCAAGCATCGAAAGGAGTAAGGACTCTTGGGAAATGGTCGTCAAACTCTACTGCTGTGAGGCGTTTTCGTGATACAGCGCCGCCAGTGTTCGGATAACAGCAAAATGATTAAATACCGTCATCATGGGCGGCGTTTCGCCTCAGAGACTCAGCCCAGCCAGGAACTTCCACCGAGTAGGCGAATGGGTGTGGCATCTTCCATGCGGGAAGCGCGTTATATCCATCAGCCGCTGGGTCCACAGTGGCGTAGACTTCGGGGACATGAAAATTATCAACATGTACTTCGGTCACATGCCACGTTATCATGATAGGGTTTCGAACTTACGGTGGTTCAACGTTCAACTTAAAGTCTTAGACTAGTATAAGCATGTTGAAAACTCACAAGCAACGTGCCTCGAAAATTTACACATGCCTCTTTGCCGCCGTCGAGGGGTGAATGTTTGGATCGCGGCCAGAGTGCTCAGGCTTGTCCACGTGTCGATTGAATTATCTTATCGTGATCGACCATGAGCCCGAGTCACAAAATCGGATTCTAAAAATCTTCAAAGATCGCCGTCAACCTTCGATAGTTTGGTGGCCGCGTAGTAGGGTCCTTATTTCTGCCTATAAGATCAAGGCTTAACGTTACGTCGTGGAACTTAGAGCTCGACCTGGAACCGAAAAAAACCATTGAACCGTTAACGTAGGATACCGTAGGTTTCCGATTACAGTTTTGTGTAGATGACTAAGCAGATCGCACCCGATCCTTGACTCTTTCCAAGGTGTTCCTTGGGGAAACTCAGGCTGTTTATTGTCCCCTTGACGGTGTCCATACCCTAGTTCTCGCCTACCATGTCTGGAATCTGTAGACCACGTCTTGCCGAGGAGCGCAAGCAATGGAGAAAGGACCATCCCTTCGTAAGTCCCTCACTTCTACTATGTCTTAGAATGAAGCGCTTTCATTTCGACTCGTTATCTTGCGCCACTTGCTCAATTGAAATATTTCCTTCGATACTTTAGGGATTCTACGCCAAGCCAGTGAAAACTGCAGATGGCTCCATGAACCTCATGGAGTGGGAAGTGGGTATTCCTGGAAAGGCTGGTGTAAGTCTGAATCACAACATGCACGTCATTTACTCATTACTACGCCCGCAGACGCCTTGGGAAGGTGGTCTTTTCAAGCTTACCATGACCTTCCCTGAAGGTAATTCACCCTTTGTATTTCTGGATTGCCGCCACTGACTAATCATATCGTGTAGATTATCCCTCTAAACCACCGAAGTGTACGTACAAACCAAACTTGACAATTCGCTTAAATATGAGTGTATGGCGTACAGGTAAATTCACGCCCCCCCTCTTTCATCCAAATGTCTACCCGTCAGGAACCGTCTGTCTTTCCATACTTGACGAAGAAAAGTCATGGAAACCGGCAATCACCATAAAACAAGTTCGTGGAGTGTTAGTGTCCATGATATCCATCTGATTTTTATCCCAATAGATTCTGCTAGGCATTCAAGATCTTTTGGATGATCCAAATGTAAACGATCCGGCGCAAAGCGACGCCTACACCATGTTCAAGTACGTATTTTTCACTGGTTTATTGCATGGGAATACCACGGTTTATATCTCCCAAAGAAACGACAAGGTTGCCTACGAGTAAGTCATCGCGAGACATTTGAAATACCAGCTGATTGTCATCTGTAGGCGAAGAATCCGGCAGCAAGCCCGGGATAATATACCAAAATAAAGCTATAATTATGTATCGGTAGCTATTTCCGCGATGAGAACATCAGAATCTCAACTAGCAATTTTTACATTATGCATCTGACTCTTCTGCTCAATGGTCTTGCTGACTGTGTGGTGGTACATGTGCAAATATTCAAGGAACACCTTGGAAGAAATGATGTCGCATTCCGTGCGTGGCTGAACACATAAGGAGGACCCCTGATTACATAATATTCTCCATTCCTTCTCATCGTTACCTCTCGAGTCTCGAGTCATCGGGTGACTTCCCGTAATTCTACTGTCATGAATTGGTCGTGCCTCCACCAAATATCCTAGACAAGCTGGTGAATCGGTAATTAGCCACTTAGTGACCGGTGGGAAACAGGTGATTTTTAACGACTTCGCAAGAGATGATTGTATTCACCGATCGACATGTAGTTCATCGGCCACTCCTGTCAGCTCTATTCACAAGTCAAAAATACATGCCAAATCTGTCGACAGGTGCGGCAATCTTTCACAGTTTTTATTACCGTACGCTTAAACTTACAGCTGTGAATACTTCGCACTGTTGTACCCTTTCAAATGGCGCTTCTTTGATTGAGTCACCGTGACGGCTCCGAGCAACCTTCGAGTGCAACGTCAACGTCAGCGCCACTGACAATACCACAAATCATGGTCGCCGGATCTGCTAGAGCCTAGCAGTAGGTTTGTACATATATATTCCCACAACCAGCATCCGCCGTCAAGCGGTAAGCCAAAAACATTTTTCACTTATTTTCTCCGAGTCTGACTCTCGATTGATCAGTTCCAAGTGTATGCTCTGAGCAATCCCCACCCAAATACTGTGGACGTCAGATTAATCAACCACCCGGTTCGTGGATCATCATGATATTTTCTCTTCGATTTGAGTAGACATCACTATGACGTGTACCTTTCAAGACCTCGCAAGCTTTTTGATCTGGCACTTGAAGCCTCTTCAATATCTTTGTTAATCCGAACGACCCTCTCGAATACTCTATACCTCTTCATCTAACGCCTCGTGTTTCATGTCCTGACCACGATCTTTACAGCGCCCGAATACCTTACGTTCCTTCCTGTCCAGGCTAAGCCAACAGACACATCCACGAGTTTACGGGATGTGCTCGCGTATTAATATGGACTTCAAGGTGTTGTACAATATTCAACCTACAAGCAGCCCCGCAAAAGTGTTTAAATCACACTCGCAACAATAAACGGAATCGATTTAACGACTCGGACGATTCAAACGGAGACGAAGTGAGAAGTCATTTTGGTGAGCATGATAGCAGATGACGACGACGAGAGTTTGGCGCTTGAGTGGGTTTTGCGTGGATGCGCACAGGATGGACAAACGAATAAGTTGCAACGGTGGTGGCGCACGCCGTATGTTGGCGGTGGGTGACTTTCTCGCTAGTTTTATAAACCACGTTAGATCTGTCCAATGATACGTGTTTCGATCAACTGACGAAACAAGTGAGATTCATCATTGATATCGGAGGGAACAAGTAGTATGAACTACCGACTACACTCGTGTTATGTGCCACGTAGTACGGGCGCGCTCACTGCGAGACGGTGGCCGGTGCCAGGTCCGGCGGAAAATGTGGTTTTCCAAGTTAGCGCTGTACGCGTTAAAGAAATCGTGGATCTTTATCTGTTTATAACCGCTCCCCGGTGATGAGGCTCAACGTGGATGTACAGCTGTTTAACGAGGCTGGGTGATGGTTCGGAAATGCGCCAATTCTGGCGCACACGGATTTCTCAACAATCTACTAACCATTTCTGGTCTCCGCTGGCATTTGACTCGGAAGCGACTCGGAGTGACGGCTCCCGCGCAAAATTCACTCAGATATCACGCTACAGCGCGGCCGTCAACACCATAACTACTGAAACAAGCCACGCGACTGCAGCCTGGGAGCCATGCGGTAAATTTCTGCATTCTCTATATTTGTGTAACTCCCACATCTCGATATGACTGCGGTTAATTGCCGGACGTCTTGATATCTACAACGGCCATATCTGTCCATGGAAATATTGTCAAGTACTTTGCTCCATGGCCCTCAAATTTGTTTAGTGCTTAATTGCTTGTGTTTAAGGTGTTCCCCTAGACTTTCTGCGAGATAATTCGCAGTGTCAGAAGCGGATATGTATCATTGGAGCGGGAGCCGGAGGTCTTGCTGCTCTGAAAGTCATATCAGAGTCTGCTTACTTCAAGTCAGGGAAATGGTCAGTCATCGCGTATGAGACCCGGGAAAAGGTTGGAGGAGTGTGGTGAGTTGCTCCAAAAAAAAGTAAGCAGTCGCTGAGCACTATCTCGTCCAGGTTACCTTCACCGCCGGTTGTTGACGAATACAACGCTCCCGTGACGCCTCTTTACGATTCATTGACCACGAACTTGCCTCATCCTATCATGGCATACACCAGCTATTCCTTTCCGCCAGAGACTCCTTTGTTTCCGTCAGCACATGTGGTGCAAACGTATCTCGAATTGTATACTGCATACTTCAATCTTACGTCCCTCGTCAAGTTCAACACCACGGTATTAGATGCACGATGGGATTCAACACAATGGATAGTAACCCTTTCGGATGGCGCACAATTTGCATATGACCACTTGATCGTCGCAAATGGACATTATCACTTACCCCGCATACCAGAAGTGCCAGGATTGGCAGATTGGATGAAGCGCGGTAGAGCCTCTCACTCTGCATGGTACAGAAAACCTGATTTTCTTGGGGAAAAAATACTTGTTGTTGGAGGCGGATCCAGTGGCCAGGACATCGCTGCTGAGATGTGCACAGTTTCCTCGGTAGTTATTCATGCTGCCACGGTCCATAGTGCAACAAAGAATGACCCGGGAAACTTCATCCGTAGAGGTCGGCTTATCGAACTCAAGGCTAACGGACAAGTAATTTTTGACGACGGCACGACGGAAGATAGTATCGACCACTGTATTCTGGCAACCGGATTCCTTATGCATTTCCCCTTCTTGGAGAGAGCATCCATGATCAACAACAACATACCACCGGACTTCCCTCCCTTAGTTCCCGGCAAGCTTTTTAACTCAACCTACCACGTGTTTCCCCTTGCAAAGCAGTTATTTCCGCTTCAATCTCAATGCCCTATCTCGTCCATCGTCTTCATGGGCCTCCTCATAAGGGTCGCGCCGTTTCCACTTATGGAAGCTCAAGCGCATGCGATTGTGCGGGCGTTTTCTGATCCTTCATCTCTTGATCCTATCGCAGAAACGGTCGATATCATCACTCACGCTGATAAACTTAAACGCGCTGGTGTTTCAACACCTCTAGACATTGCCAAAGCCTGGCTCCGATACGACAGGGAAGACCAATGGAATTATCGAGACGCGATGTATCAATTTGCGCAGGGCATGGGGTCTGGGACTCCGCCCATAAAAGTCACAGAGTGGGAGAAAGAATTGTACGATCTGAAAGTGGAACTAAGGTCAGCATGGGAGGATTTAGAGAAGTCAGGAGACTCGGTTGAGTGGTTGAGAGACGTCGGGAAGAATGGGGTGCAGGATTGGGTGGAGTTGATGTATCGTGTGGCAGATTATGCCAGGACTCGAAAGAACTCGTTGGGGAGATTGTGATCAAAGCGCAGTGCGACACGCCTGTCGTGTGCAAACTGACGCATTATATTACTGAGTGATATTAGCTCAACTGTTTTACCTCAGCATACTAGCACTGTCGCAAAGGAACGTACTGATCCCTCACTACAAGAGATCCCATGACTATCATATTAGCCTCCGGCCCGCCGTAATAACACTTGACTCACTTTCGTACATGACTCTGAGTGAGTCACTCTCGTAGTATCAATTTACATAAATCGCAGAAAGCACCTCACGCACATCTCATTACTACTAAGTAAACAACATGAGTCCCCAAATCCCAACATGCCAACTCGGTACACAACTCCTTCATGGTGATCACGGACCAGGAAGCGAAGTGGTCCCTTCTATCTCTGTTACCTCGAGTAAGTTCTCTGCTGCCTGCTAGGACAGCAGCTCACCATGTATGTAGCATTCAGAGCTGTGCCTCATGGTGACCCCGAGGGGCTTGGAGCGATGAATCCCGAGAAGCATGTCTACTCCCGTTATTCGCAAAATGTCACATCGAGGGTGGAACAGATCTTGAGTAAAGTTAACGTAGGTCTCATCGCAGGATCGATCACAGCATGCCTTATTTTCGTAGCAAGGACATGCAATCACCTATGCATCAGGATTAGCTGCTGCATTTTCTGTGAGTTGCCATATATCGATGCAGCATCATGGCAAGTGGTTGACCAAAGTGATCCTATGATCTGATAGGCTCTTGTGCACTTCAAACCCAAACGCATTGCAATTTCCGGAGGATACATGGGCTGTCACGGCGCCATAGCTACTTACATCAAAGGGAGGTTTACTGATACCCCAATCATTAGCCTAGATGACGAATTCCAAGAGGGCGATCTCTGCTGGTTCGAGAGCCCATTGAACCCTACGGGCGAATCGAGGCAAGTCTTCGAGCGATTTTGATTGTAAAAAATTGTTGATCTAGATCCCTGTCAGAAACATTCAATATTACGCAGACAAGGTATGTTTCAAAAGAACGCAGATTATCAACAAGGGTACTCATGTGCTGTCATTGAGATTCATGCTGTTGGAGGGAAGTTATTGATAGATTCGACATTCGGTCCTCCGCCTCTTCAATACCCATTCAAATGGGGGGCAGACTGTATATTTCACTCCGGTATGTGAATTTTCATCCCAAGCACGATATGATAACATCTTGACCTGCCACAGGAACCAAGTACTTTGGAGGTCACTCAGATTTGCTCTGTGGAATCATTATCGTCAAGACCGAGGCTGAACGCGAACAGGTATGTGTTATAGAATTCCCAAACCAACTGAAGCTCATTTTTGTAAGCTCTGGCACGACCGTGTGTACATGGGGAATATGATGGGGTCCCTGGAGTCTTGGCTTTTATTACGATCTCTTCGAACGATGCATCTGCGCATCCCAAGGCAATCGGCAAATGGCACGGAAATCGCGCAATGGCTTAACAGAGCCATTGTTCCAGAGGGTCAGGAATACGATGGTATTCCCGGTGGAGTGATCACCAAAGTTTGGCACTCTAGCCTTCAGAAGCCTGATGCCAATGGGTTTGACCCTGCGGTACAGATGGAAGGTGGATTCAATGCCTGTTTCTCGATCTTGGTGCGTAGACGGCGCACAATGCATGATTCTGTCCTCACTCGAATGAAAGCTTTCAAAGATAGAATACGCGGAGAAACTGGCGCACTCACTGGAGTATTTTGTGGTAAGACATATCCACTAAGAGGCGGTAAGCGCGTTGATGACTGATGTACCTCAGCCGGCAACCAGTCTTGGTGGCGTTGAGTCTTCGGCAGAGCAGCGCCTCAATTCAGATCCAAAGGAAAACCCCCTTCTTGTGCGCCTAAGCATTGGTATAGAAGAAGTGACGGTGAGTCTCAGCATGGCTTACTATTTTGATTTGGTTGAATATTCACGTCTATGTTAGGACCTGAAGGACGACTTGCGAAGGGCACTCGTAGAGATATCGAAAGGAAATTAGAACGAATAGTGCATGGATGTCATGCGCCGATCTGTGAAACATAGTTACCCAAAGTGACGAGCTCGAGGTTAGAAGCTGGGAATTTGACTTGGAATTGAATTAGTTTGGCTGTATTATTTTCAGAAGGCTTTGCCAAATAGCAGTACACACAGTTCATCATTTGGACGCGTCACGGCAGTCGAAGCCGCGTCAGCTACGCTATTACATCCCATATCCAACTACCATGAACACCATCTTACAGCGTTACTCAAGGCCAAATATAGGAGGTCTCTCCAAATCAACTGTCGATGAGGACAATGATTTCTCTGATGCAATGTGGGGCTCTGAGGCTGGCTTTGGCACCCTGGCAAAGGGAGTGCCAGGCTTCGTTGTTCCATCTGTTCCAGACGTGGGTCTACCATTATTGTCCTCAGTTCAATTACAAACTACGTGCAACTCTCGCAGCCTGCCGCATTCTTGAGGCTACACACCGATGATCATGCAGACCCATCATGCAGAATTAAAATCCAGCATGGAACAACCACACTTGCATTTAGATTCCAAGGCGGCGTAATCGTAGCTGTTGACTCACGTGCTACAGCTGGAAGCTACGTTGGTGTGTATGTATCAGGCATCAATGTTGCTGTTCTAACACGGTCTTTAGCATCTGGAACCGTCAAGAAGGTCATTGAGATCAACCCTTACTTGTTGGGTACGATGGCTGGCGGTGCTGGTATGAAATTGACCCTTTGAGTCTGTTGGCTTTGACTCATCATCTTCAGCTGATTGTCAGTTCTGGGAAACATATCTTGGCATGCATTGTCGATTGCATGAACTCAGAAACCGAGAACGGATATCAGTGTCAGCTGCTAGCAAGTACTTGAGCAACCTTGTATATAGCTATAAGGGAATGGGTTTGAGTATGGTCAGTCTTCGTATGCCATGTCTCTCGCCAAGTCTGTTAACAGTTTTCAGGGTACGATGATCTGTGGCTGGGACAAGACCGTTAGTGCCGTGTAAATATATGGATGACTCACAACTAAATTATGCTGAAGGGACCGGCAGTATTCTACGTTGACTCTGACGGCACGCGGTTGAAAGGCGATTTGTTCTCGGTGGGTTCGGGAAGCACATTTGCCTATGGTGTCTTAGATCAGGGATATCGGTGGGATCTCACAGACGAGGAAGCACAAGAATTAGGACGGCGAAGTATCTATGCCGCTGGACACCGAGATGCGTTCTCAGGTAACACTTGCAACCTCTACCACGTGAAGGAGGATGGTTGGAAGTTCATCGGTACGTTGCAAGTCATTCTTTATGTTCACTATGATTTACTTTCATGTCCAGGAAATTACGATATCACGAAACTGCACTATGAAGGACCAGGAAACGTTGCCGGCTCACCTGGTCATGGTTATGGCTATGATCTGCGTGCAGAAGGACGCAGTTCAGCCAACCCTCCTGAAGTCCCAGCACAGGCGTGATGTTTTACTGTATAGATAGATGTGTATCCGTAGTAAAAGTCAAACGCAGTGTCTCCATCTTCCAAAGCTTGACAGTGTATTACATTCGTATGCATATGAGTGTTTCTCGGGACATTGAATCAACTCTCAATCTGACAATATGTATACTTGGAGTTAACTTATTGTTGTGACTTCTAATTTAGCTCACTGGGCTATTAGTACAGATCCCACCCTTTACGACGTAACGACTCAAATTTAGAAAGGTGGGTTGACATAGCACGGTGACCACGGTTGAGTCGGGTGAACCTAACATAGTCCTCAAGTGTAACAACGGTGTGCACTACAGGAAGACATGAAACATCTGTTCTCCAAGTCATCCAAGAATGCGACTGCGACTCGGAGTTCTGTCAAGGCTTCGGCTCCTGAGCCGCCAATGGCTGGTCGTACGGCAGCGCTCCCCGCGGCCACCGTTGGTCTGCAACCGAATTATGTCGTTCCTCCAGTCCCACACCCCAGTCCTCACGAGCACATTACGTTGCTCGCATCAGAGGATGGTCTACTCATGCGTCCGCATCGCGCGGGATTGCCTCACCCCGCGTCATATGTCCGCGTGTCATGGGGCAAGACAACACACATAGCAGAACTACCCAGCGATCATCGTGGAGGCATTCCTGTTGATTGGAAAGAGGGCGTGGTTATCTATGGAATTGTGGGCTTAATGACCTTGTTCGATGGTAACAAGACTTCGTCTTCTGCTCACTCGTGGTGAAATAACGACTGAATACTCTCCGGCTAGCCTCATACCTCTTGGTCATAACGTCTCGATCTGACGTTGGGCAATGTGAGCGATCTCTATCTTCGAACACGGTAAGACTTACACCAGGCTCAGTATTTGATGCTTCACACTTGGTTTATGGCGTGAAAAGCGTTGTATCCATACCCCTTGTGAAGGACCGCGCCAAATCAATCCTTTCGCGCATGGCATCTCGTAACACGTCTGTAAACAGACCCTCCCTCCTTGTGAGTAATGTGAACGATCTCCAGGTCCCTGATGAAGGGACCTCGCGTGGGCCTCGTGTGAAATTTTCAGACGAGGAGGAAGTAAAGATCCTGACCCCACGCGATCAAGTAAAATTCTCTGTTAACGGCGCCGATCGACCCGCCTCACCTGTATCATCCGGTGCCTCAACTCCTGCTTCTGATGTATCGATGACCCATTCTCCCGTATCGACGATTGCAAATCGCATGTCATTCTGGAGCCGCATATCGAAACGCGCATCAAGCGTGTCCGAAGGAGCAGACATAGAGGAGTCCTTCCTCGGAGAGCGAGAATTGCTTGATTCCATAATACATGATGCCGAGGGAGTACCTGACAAGGTGATCAATTCCATCATAGCTGCAGCTGCGCCACCACCGGATAGCTCAGAGGAGCGTAACTCTGAGCTCGAGGAGCGCATTTTACGTGGATGTCTCAGAGAATTCACGAAAGGCGACATGTACTTTGCTCTACATTTTGGTGAGTGCATGCATCATAGTCCGCCAGACATGCAAGTACATTACTTTTTCCAGACATCACAAGATCTTTGCAACACAAACATGAGCAATTCACCAAGTTGCATGCTCAAAACAAGCTACTTTCAGAACTTGATGTTCTTCCGAAAGATACAATTGTTAATCCACTGGACGACAAAGTGGACGCTCTCTTTGAGCCATCTGTCATATTGCCATTGTGGAGACGGGTCAACCGTCACTTTTGGTGGAATGAATGGTTATCCAAGCCATTCATGGATGCTGGTGTAAGTGCCTTGAATCAAACATTCGTTTAGCACCAACTGACCGATCTAATCCTCAGCTTCACTCTTACGTGACGCCGATAATGCAGGGATACATTCAGATCTCCTCGTTTGATCTACCCAAAGATATTTCTGCCACGCAAGACGACTCAGCAGAGCCCGTTGATTATATTGTTATCTCGCGACGTTCCAGAGATAGGGCCGGTTTACGATATCAGCGCAGGGGGGTGGACGACGAGGCTAATGTAGCTAATTTTGTAGAAACGGAGGTAATTATGAGAGTTCAGGTGAGCAGCTCACTTTCCACTACTCCGCCGAGTTTAAATCCCTCCAGAGAAACGGAATAAGCAACGTTTTCAGCTACGTGCAAATCCGAGGCTCAAGTAAGCAGCTGTCTGTTGAATATGCGATGCATTACATGACCCGATCCAAGTTCCGCTATTTTGGACGCAGTCAGGTTACAGTATGAAGCCACCTCCTATCCTTGCACCCGAAAGAAACACTGCACAGAATATGGACGCCATCAAACACCATTTCCGTCGTACTGTCCCTGTGTACGGTCCACACGTAGGACTCATCAATATCTAATATGATCATGTCATTCACCATTCCCTAGACCATTGTCAATCTTGCAGAACAACATGGGAAGGAGGAAACGATTACAAATGCGTATCGTGAATATGCAACTAAATTGGATGCTAAGGATGTTCAGTAAGTTCACAATGACGAACTCTCATGACAGATCCCGAACGTTGTTACAGTTACTGCGAATTCGATTTCCACCACGAAACGAGGGGGCTGAAGTTAGTGTCATTTGCATACGGACAACGCATTCCTGAACATTAGCAGGTACGAAAACATTTCCAAGCTCATCAACCAACTCGAGCGTGTGTTCGAAACTCAAGGGTATGAATATTCTGTCAATCTGACTTTCTTCGATATTGTGAGCTTAATACAATAGGTTCTTCTGGGTCTCGAACAACATGCTCCTATCAAAACAGAAGGGTGTATTCAGGGTTAATTGCATTGACTGCCTAGATCGTACTAACGTTGTCCAAGTGAGTCATAGGTCCCACTGCTGTCCCCTTTTCTAACATCGGCCACAGTCTGCCTTTGCAAGGCATGTGATGAGCATGCAGCTTGAGGCTGTGGGGCTTGTGAGTCCTCCCCAAAGTGGGAAGTCGGGAGTGGAGGTTATCTTTAATGATGGTCAGTGGTTGTCGTTCTTTTTGATAACGGAATGATGGAGAGTTACACAGTATGGGCCAACAATGGTGATGCGATCAGTCGTGCATAGTAGGTTTAAAACAACTTGTCGGATAATTTGCTCTTACCTCATCACACCCTCGAAGTGCTGGCACATCTGCCTTGAAAGTAAGTGTTTGATTCACTTCTAAAACCTAACCTGAATGAGCCGACTGTCTGGCGGTAGGGTGATTTTACCAGGTCAGCCAATGCTTCCTTGCATCTTTTCACTGTTAACTTGATAAGTAGAACCGGAAAGCGAGACTTGGGGGGTATGCTCAACGATGGTGTAAATTCCCTCGCTAGGATGTACAGCGCGACCTTCAGCGACTGGTTTTGCCAAGCTGTCATCGACTTTATGCTTGGCTACAGGACTCTCTCTGTTTTCGAAGAATTTCTCATCAAGCTACAGTCGACAGATCCTAGAGAACTCATTCGCCTGTCAAAGATCAGAGCGGAAGCTATAGCAACTTCTGTCGCTCGCGTATTGTCTGAAGGCGAAACTTTGATATCTGGGTGGACGATCTTCAGCCCGGAGCAATTAAATGTTAAATTCGACGATCGATTTGAGGAGAAAGTGTTACTCTTGGTAAGTATCAGCCGTGATTGTTCAGCATTGTTCTGACCGTGAAGTAGAGTGCCCGCGCTCTGTACATTGTCGTACGTTGTCCAACGACACGCTGTTGGCTTATAGTAATATCTAACTGCCCCAAAGAGCTATGACTACAGCTTGGAGAAGGCCAAGATGTATATCTGCATCCCTTTGGGTGCGATCGCACGACTCGAGAAAGGTCACATTAATTTTTGTTGACAAGTCAGGTAGCTAAATTGTCAGATAGGCGCTTATATCATCTCTCCTCTGGAAGAGGCGAGCAGGGATCCAGTGCAGAACGCTGGCTTTTCGATTTACTGGCATGCTAGCGATAAAATCAGCATGCGCATGACGAGTTATTCAATCAGAAACGTTCTAGAAGACGCCTCGGCAAGGTCACCGCCAGCGGTATCGGTCAGAAGTTCCACTCAGAACAAGCCGACGCTACCACGTCGCGAGCCAACGAAGACCGCCAACCTGTCGGGGATCATGTCTAAAGTTTCTGAGAACGCGGCTGGTGCGACCAACGTCTGTTTTGCAGCTTTCAAAGCGCTCCCAGTAGACCCTGCTCGAGTTAGAAGTGGATCCAGCACTGGATATGCAGAGCCTGCGGATGATCTCGCAGGAGCGACTACTTGCAAGCAAGTCGTTGACATGATGGTAGATAGCATTAAGCGAGCTTGCGAGGATACAGGGAATTCCCCTATTATCATGGATCGCGATGTGGTCAGGTGGGTAACACGCCGAGATGCTTTTATCACATAATACTCATTTCGAGAGCAGTCTCACTGAAGCCCAGAAGATGACCAGTATCTATGCCAAAATGGAGTATGGCGTCAAGCGATTGATTTGGCTGGGAGGTTTGGTGTAGTAAGGAGAGGTCTAGTTCTATGTAACGACTTACTTTGTGGGCTCTTCGCTATCACAATAGGCAATACAATGGCGACAGCCTGAGACCAGTTTCCCGTCAACACATAGTAGACGTACCATTGTTTTCAATTCCTTGGTTCTTGTCCAATGGGTCCAAGCCAGGTTCAAGCCAAGTCCAAGCCCTATGGTGGACACTACCTACAATAGGCAGACCTCGATTCAATAGCAATACAATGGGCTGAGACCAGAAGTTTGGACAAAGTCATGATAGATGTAGTTATTTAATAATTTATATAATTTCTCTCCGTAAAATAATGATGGGCACTTATATAAGCGATTACGGGGGACTTCAAGTCTCCAATATCGTCACAAAGTCCTAACAAGCTTCTTTAGTACCACAGTCATCACTTCACTGCTTCTATCAACATGGTCCATCTTGTCACTTCCGATAATGTGGAGTTCGTAGTCGACAAGGAGGTTGTCGAGCGCAGTGTTCTCATTAAGAACATGCTTGAAGGTACTCTTCTCTTCATCTTTGCCGTCCACAGGAGTAATTTTGATCTTGCTCAGATGTTGGAGAGTCCGATCAATCTATACCTTTGGCCAACGTCTCCTCGGCCGTACTGAGGAAGGTTAGTATCTTAGATATTTACCGATCAAACATTTTTTTCTTTACTCTAGTGGTCCAACCCACGTGCTCACACACCATTGCGCAGGTCATAGAGTACTGCGAACACCACAGGGGTGAACCCTTGCCTAGCGCAGATGCCGACCAGAATCAAGATGAGACCCGCAAGCGAACAACCGATATCAGCGAATGGGACCAGAAGTTCATAACTGTTGACCAAGAGATGTTGTTCGAGATCATCCTCGCTGCAAATTATCTCGATATCAAGTCGCTGCTGTGAGTCACAAAGTTAATAGTTACAACGCTCGCTCTTATCACCTTGAAGCGACGTTGGATGCAAAACGGTTGCCAACATGATCAAGGGAAAGACCCCTGACGAAATCCGTCGTCTCTTTAACATCGTCAATGACTTCACTCCGGAGGAAGAGGTATGTCCCGTTTTTCTCCTTCACTGTTGCTACCAGCTAAATTTTCATCAAAGGCGCAAATCAAAAAAGAGAACGTAAGTCTCAACCAGTTGACTCTTAGAAATCATCTCAAATCTCCTTCAGGAATGGGCAGAAGACCGATGAGAGACCACTTCATAGAGTTTACTGTACCAGCTATCTTTCTATCATTGTGTCATTACCCGTTTCCTTCCTACTGCAGTTCAATTTGCACTCGTAGTTTTCCTATTGAATAATAGTCGTACGCGCGCCACACAGCTAGGTTGTTTGTGCTTACATAAAGTCACAACTACTTCACGCAAACGTACTTCAGTGGACTTGTCTTCCTTTCTGCCTCGTTTATGCCACAAATTCCAACTATACCAGGAACTATCATTTCGCCTCGCTCTGAGCAAGACCGGTGGTTGAAGAGTTATGTAGCGAGACTTTGTCAGATGGACCATGAGCGGTACAGTGCCTAACTGACATACGATCCAGAAGTTCATAATCATCTTTGTCTTTAGATTTCCCGGTAGTCAGCCAGTCAGTTTTGCATTGGAACATTTGCAACAACTGGAACATCGCGAGTGAGTAGCAGACTTTTTCAGTATGAAAATCAGTCTGCGACATCTCTCATTCGTTCTGGCCAGTTACTGGGTGTGCGAGAAGTCTGATGGTGTTCGCGTCCTTTTTTTCCTTCAAACAGACCTCACATCAGGCAGTCAAGCAGTGTACCTTGTGCGCGTCCTCATTCACCTCTATGCACCCCTTTGACGTCACCTAGATCGATAGACGCAATGATTATTACGAGGTTCCAGGGTTCTGGTTTCCTCATCACGAACGACGGAAGGAGCCTTTGGGAGATACCATCGTCGATGGAGAGCTCGTCATTGATGTAGACCCTCGCACCAAGAAAGTAAGCAAGATTGGCAACACCGTTAAATGTTTCTGTTAAAATCTCACATTTTCCTCAGGAGACATTGCGGTTTCTCACGTTCGACTGCCTCGTAGTTAATGCACAGAATGTCATGTCGCGAACACTGGACAAGCGATATGGTGTATGTACTTGATTTCATCAGCCCGCATATCCAGGCGCTAATTGAGTTTGTAGCGTCTCAAAGAATGGTTTTTCAAACCCTTCTCAATGATGATGCAAGAATTTCCCCACATGGCCGCTAGTCAGGCCTTTGAGTGTGTGATCTGGCTTGGGAGTATGACCGTTCTGACACCTCCATTAGCATCAAGGTCAAGAATATCAGCTTCTCCTATGGTGTTGAAGAAGTGTTCCAGGTAGTCATTCCAGCACTACACCATGGCAATGACGGCCTCATCTATACTTGCGTGGAGACGCCATATACGCCAGGTACTGATCCAAACATGTGAGCTTGTGAGCCATGGCTATAGGACGATGCTAATTCCAATTCCAAGACTGAAGTGGAAACCTCCTTCCGAGAACTCTATTGATTTCAAGCTCGTTTTACGGTTCCCACCATTATCAGGTAATATATCGAAGCCAGACTATCACGCGAAACCGTTCTTCGCGCTTCATGTATACTGTGGCGATGAACAGGGACGACCAAAATACGAATCTTACGATGAACTCTTTGTTGACGATGATGAGTGGGAGATGTGAGGACTTTCATCCAATACTTTTTGCAGCTGACGGATAAACCTGCCAGGATGAAGTCATCGGGCGAACAAATTGATGACAGGATCGTCGAAGTTTACTGGGACCCTGTTACTTCCCATTGGCGCAAGATGCGCTTTCGGGATGATAAACTCCATGGTAACTATCGGACGGTAGTTGAGAATATCATCCAAAGCATTGCTGATGGAGTCGAGAAGGATACGGTATGCCATCTATGCGCTGTTCAGGGTCATGTGCTAAATTTAAAGTCAGCTCCTCGAGCGCTCTGCGGCAATAAGACATGCCTGGAAAGCGCGCGCCCGGCCGCAGCAGCCCTCTCAGAGAGGGCCAGACACTGCCACCCAAATGCCATCAAATGGGCCCTCGTTAGGGCATGCCCAACCACCAAATGCTCCATTAAAATATGGCCCTCTCGCCACTTCGCGTTGGAGCAGGGTGTCTGGGCCCCCAGTGTTTGCTGGTATGCATCGCTGATCCACCTAACGCATCGGAACGCTCTCTATTATGATAAGCAACTGGAATTACAAACCATTTGTACGTCCATCGGGTTGTTATCGCCTGTCGCACCCACCCTCCATCAGATCGCCCGTGGAACAACTGAGCGATGTCTCGGTTGTTGTTCTGGGTATGCATCTAGCCGGATGTGGACATGTGGAAGAATCGGCACTACACAATAGCTGGTCTCACTTGATACCCAAAGAATGGAACGCCTCTCGATTTGGCACCATCAATTTGTTTCACCTGATACATTCGCACAATGTGTAGACAGGGTCTTGTTTTGATATCAAAAAACATCAAGTGTACAAAGTCTGGAATGACTGTAAGTACACTAAGTCGTGAGGGTAAATGTCGTGACACGTCGTTAAAGCACAGTCAACATGAATTCGGATGGAAAGCAGGCACGGATGCATGTCTAGTCGTTACAGGTGATGACGGAGATAGGGAAGCAACAAGTACGTAGCGCTTTTGAGTTTGACGCCATTATTAGCGCGAGAACGGAGGAAAGAATATGCGGGAGTGCAAAAGGCGTTGCTTAGGCGTAAATCGTAAAGCTCTGGAACAGCAAGCAAGGAACAGCTTTCCGATGGAGAGGCAAAAACAAGCCTCATGTGCCCAATCTGAAAAGTTTGGGAGATGTACGCGTGAAATTACAAACTGTGAATGGTATGCAAAAGATGCGATAAAATGAGGTTGAAATGGATGAAATCTGAAACGGAGAGTTGTTGGGGTGGCGTCTGCCGGCGGCGGCGGCGAGGGAGTGGAACTGGAGTGGATGGGATTTAAGAGCGAGAAACTGGCAGGAGCTCATTGAAAGATGTTCTGGTCAAGGGAGAAGGAAGAGGCTCCGTCGGAAAAGCGATGATTATCATCTGCGAAGTCACGACACTCTGTGAAAGTGCAGGAGGGCAGTCCGAAAAGCGCGAATGAAGGCCGCGAGATGATGCCTATAGGAGGTAGCGCAAATTCGGAAGGGAAGTTCGAGGTCATGAGAGGCAACATCTGCATCAATCATACTGAAGCGAATGCTTTCTAGAGGAGCTTCGGGTATCTCAGGAGTGGATTCAAGGGATGAAACCGAGGAGTCACGACCGTGTCTCCTGCCAGTGGGAGAGTGAGGAGCCATAGAGAGTACAGCAAACTGACTCATAGGCATAGACTAAATAATGATCTCGACGGTCAGACATCACCACTATCAGTGAATAGTATCAAGGTCTTACCTGGGCGAAGTCTATGGGTGGAAGGTCGTGCAACATCAACGGGGGCGTCTGTGGGCCTATTTGCAGAGCCCGACAGGGTGATGGCGCCGCCCGCGGAGACATACGTGCTGTCCTTGTAGTTCCTGATCTGGTTCAGCCTGGTCCTGGGCCGCATCAAGGTCACGCTGTCCATCAGAAACCCGCCACCACTCAATGTCCGCGAGGACCCTACGTTCAGTCACTTCCGAGTCAGAAGAACGACGAGAGCCATGACCTGCAACACGCGTACGAGCGCTATTTACACTACCATTTGATAGCGAAGTTGGGTATGGGTTCGAGCGAACTGACAGAGATGAGAAAGAACGACGAAGGGAAGGCATTGAATGGGTGCAGTGATGTGACTACGGGTTGAAGGACCTTCCGACCAGAGATTTTAGGACCAGGAGCTGCCTACCGCAGAGCCCACTGGACGATGGCGAAGATGAGGGAGACAAAGATTGTGGGAAACTAAATATTCAGATTTTATAATTTCGGATAAATCATTTAAATGTGACCAGGGGACGATGTGAAGAGTGAGCGTCAGTGAATGTCTAAAGTGGTTCACTCACCAAATTACCAAGACACATTTATGACAACAACTTACATACATACGGTACGTACTTGAGGGAAGCACCGTGTGGGCCCGGGTACCATCAGAAGTACGTCTTGACGACAACGTTGTACTATCAACCCGCACGGCTGTCAAGTCTCACACAGCCTACCATCAACGCCCACGTCCAATCACCGTGTTAATACCCTTTGATAAGACTAACCATGGTCGGGAGACCTGCCAAATGTCCTTCAGTACCTGTTTCATATCAAGGTCTAGACTTGGCCGGGATGTCGTCAAGTATTATAATACACTGGCAGTGTTCACGCCAAGTTCAGCTGATTACCGGCAAATCCAATCGAAAACTCGTGCACGTCTTTTTCGGTCCCCCTCTTCGCACTATGTCAGTATACTGCAAGGCTTTCGTCACAGGACCAGCTTCATGCACGTAATTTCATGCCTGCTGCCTTCTTTACTCAACCAAGCGAATTGTCAAGAGGTATGGAACCGGCTAAATCGTAACCGCAAAACTAAGTCGGATCTCGAGTCGTCTCCGGTACTTATATCCTAGCGACTCGCGCTGCACATCTCACATTTGTCTACCCACCCATACTGCCAACGACGACGATGTACACCATTTACTATGGTCCAGTCATTAACCCTCAATCAGTCACAGACTACCTTGCACTTCCTCAATGTTTAAGTCTGCGTATCTGAACAGGGTAACATCGAATGGGTCGTCGAGGATGTAGAGAGCGCAAAGCTCAATGATGTCCTCACGCAGCACAATTGTACTCCTTCTGACACCACTCTCATTCGTTTAGATGACGGGGAATTCCTTATGCCTGGCTTTGTTGATACCCACACAGTCAGTCCAGTACCCTATCAGAGAGTTCATATCTTGACCCATCTTCTGTATCTGTAGCATGCATGTCAATTCCCTAACCTCGGCGTGTAAGTATTCTCACTCTATTATCTCCGACCTCTCCTTATACGCCTCTTTCAGTGGTGGGGAGATGGAGCTCCTTCAATGGCTCGACAACTACACGTTCCCGACGGAGGCTAGTTTCAAGGACGTCGAATATGCTAAACGCACTTATCCTCATGTCGTACGGCGTATAATCAACTCGGGTGTAGGTGATCGGTCTATATGCCCGGTCATCATTTTGACGCTGAATTAGACGACGACATGCTGTTATTACGGTAGTTTGCATCTAGAAGCGACCAAGGTTCTAGCCGGCCTCGTTCACGCCGCAGGTAAGGTTATCCTTGTCGCATCCGAACGTCTAGCTGACGAGGTGCAATAGGTCAAAGAGCGTTTGTCGGGGTACGTATCCTTCTGGAAAGCTACACCAAATTCTAATCGCTTGATTTGCACATCAGAAATGTAACATGAATCAGAATTCTTCACCCAATTACATCGAGCCGTCTGCCCAAGAATCTGTCGACACCACCTTGGCTTTAATCAGGCACATCGAAGAGCTACCGAAAGCTGCTTGCGGCGAGACATTGCTACATCCCATCCTCACCCCGCGTTTCGCCATCTCATGTACCGAGGAACTCTTGACGCGTCTCAGTGAAATCGCGCAGAAGAACCCAAAGCTCGCCATTCAGACGCACATCTCAGAGAATAAATCCGAAGTTCAACTGGTTAAACACCTGTTCAAGACTAAAAGTTACGCAGAGACCTATGACAAGTTTCATTTACTTCGCAATAACACTGTTTTGGCACACGGCGTCCAACTCACCGAGGATGAGATGGTGCTTATCGCTAAACGTGGTTCGGGGGTGGCACATTGCCCGACGAGCAACTTCTATCTGAGCAGTGGCATGGCTAGAGTTGGCATGCTCCTGGATCATAATGTGAAGGTTAGTCCTTCGTTTCCCAATAGCTAATTGCTATAACTAACTTCATCTTCGATCAGGTTGGACTGGGCACAGATGTCGCTGGCGGCTATTCCCCATCCATACTCACTGAGATCCGGCACGCCAGTATCGCATCCAAGATGCTCGCTATACAAGCCGATGACAAGAAATGCAAGTGCGATGGAGGCCACTCGGAGTCATCATCATCAGGCGAAGAAGACAGTCATTCGCGCAGTCGTCGCGGTCACAATCAAGATAGCGATGAGAAGCGGTCTGTACGGTTCACCAATCAGAAACTATCTATTGCTACTCTCTTGTACCTCGCTACTCTTGGTGGGGCGGGAGTTTGCTGTCTACAGGACCGTATCGGCTCGTTTGAGCAGGGGAAGGCGTTCGATGCGCTCCTGGTAAGCATCCGAGAAGACGATACGGGGAACCCTGCGGTGTGGGGCTACAACCCTGATCGCGACTTGACCCATGGTGTCACTGCGCAGAGCGCGGACAAGAACTTGATAGAATGGTTGGAACGCTTTTTGTTCTGCGGAGATGACAGGAACATTAAGAAGGTGATCGTACAAGGGAGGACGATTGGTGGACGGGATTACCATCCATTACAGTAAATACCCAGTCCGGATGTATGATTTGGATGTATAACTGCACGTTTATAGTAGTAATAGTCCCTGAGAGACTCTTGTGCTCTCATCAGTGATCATCCCTGATATGTAAGAATACAAAGCATGATAGATACAGCGGTTGGTGATAAATTATCCGTCCTTGTCTTTCTTGTAATCCCCGAACTCCCATTTAAAACAGTCCTATGAACAAGGTGTCAGAGGAATGAAATATAACGAAAGCATTCCCAGAACACTAACCACACAGTCCTCTTCTTCACGGGCGACAGGTACATCCCACTCATTCCCGTCTTCATCCGGCCAACTATCTTCCAGGTCCAAAACTTCTAGAATAACTTCCTTGATGACATGCTTACGCAAATCAACATGCCACCCCAGTTTCTGGACAGTATCATATACGATGGTTTTTCCCAGATGACATCTTGTCTCAAGAGCATACCCAGCCTGAGCGCATGGCGAGGCAACACCAGTACACGCTCCCTGAGGTATCGGATCGGCATTATGGTATATATGTGTGATAGGCACCGGAGGTCGGGAAGAATTTCCAATGGGGGGCGGAAGTGGGAGATGAAGACGGTTCGCTGCCATTCTTTCACCAGGAGCCTCGAATGCAACAGCTGGTAATCCAAAAGTAGAACCAAGGAGAGAAGCAAGACTTCCTCCGAGACTATGGCCGACAAGCCATATATCAGCGAAAGGGTATAGAAATATCAGATCTTTCACAAGTTTCTGCGCGATGCGAAGATGTGAATCTATGTGGTGGTTGATGGAGATGATCGACTTACGACGCCGGTGGAATAGAAGAGGCTGTCCTGTATGAGAGCTTTGGACAAGCATGTGTCATCGCATCGTTGGTGTAGGGTTGACCAGGAATAACAGTTGCAGACCGTAGAGAACACCCATGAGAAATCAACGCGGGCGCAACAGCACGAGAAGAGTAGATTATCGTTTAGTTTATCTTTCTTTGATGTAGGTCCTTGAAGTGTGGTTCCTTTGATTGCGAGTACGATTGTAGAACTATCTCTAGAAGTGAAAACGTGGCCACGGAATCCGTCTTCGTCAGTATCCCACCCGAATGGAAAGCTCTAAAAGGGTTGATAAAGAGTGAGCATAAGTAGCAGGGAGACGCACTCACAGCATTGACGTCCCAGGATGAATCGAGGTCGTACCAGTTCTTGTGACCTGGAAGTTGGTACGCATTGGCAGTCATGCGTGCCAATTGTGAGAGTGTATGCCTGTCTTCTACGTCTGGTCCTGGGACTACCATCTGTTCCCATTCGATGGGCTCAGTCTCGGCATGAAGAAGTGATCGTAACCGAGCGTGCTCGTGAGCATCGAGAGATTTCGGGCGGTAGACAGTTATTGGTCGGGTCTTTAGAGAGATTGCGGGTGGCTCGGACGGTGGTGTAATATATGGAGCGATGAGAGGGAGTTGATCGTCTGCAACAGGAAGATTGAATTGATTGTGGAGATCGAAGTTGACCCGGTTTGGGGCGACAGTTGCGTCGGAGGCGATGACAACTCGAAGGATGTGAAGAAGAGTTGTGATATGAAGCAGATCAGGATACATGTTAGATATTGTGATAAATCATCGAGAGAATGTTAGGTGAGGACAGCGACCTACTACTCTCCTGCTTTGCTCTGCCGAAGTACTGTCTGACATAATTTTAAATGGGAGGCTGACCACGTGAACCGGTGTCTATCTCTTACCAGGGGCATCTCTCGTCCAGTCACTATTCGACAGTTCAAACTAGGGTCATTCACTGTCTCGTTATTCATCCACTCGCCCACGCCCATAGCGCTCCGAGATCGAATGACCGTATTTTACTAACCATGCGGATGCGGGAGTGATTTCCATGCTACGATCTTGTAATGAGCGGCAGAGGTAGATTGACAATGCTCGAAGAAGCGAAGTGCTTGACAGAGATACACCGGTTATGCCCTTGTGCTCCGATTACTATGGAGTTTGCGAAGCGAAGGACTAGATCTTTCCTGGCCGGGTTGTTGCGTTTGACAAGTCAAGGGTCAGGAAGGGTCGAATGACTATCTGTGACGAAAGGCATATGTCGATAATAGGGTTGTCGACTTGTCTTTCCTGATGGTGTTTTTCCCGTACAGTTGGTTAAAAGTCAAGAAGATCCATTGCTGTATGCGCGACACATTACTGCAGGTATCAATCTCCTGCACTTTTTTCCTGTCAGTGAATACCATGGCCATTCCATTACTCCTGTCCAGACTACAAAACCATTTGATACCAGTGCCCACGAATGTCATCCGGGGAAGCACCCTGAGCACCTTTCCCTTTCTCGTCCTTCCAACGCAGGGTCATCCCAAGACAAATCGGTGTGATTTAGCAAAGGTGAAGTGGTCAGCACCGTGGTAGCGTTCTTCAAGTTAAGTCATGCACAAGGCAGTAGCACTATCCTGCGTCCCTGCTGGGGTTGCTACCTTGACACTCTAGATCTATACTATACACGATATGGATAATTTATCGGTGTTCGACAAACTACTTAAGGCTTAACTACAACGAATATTAATGATACCAAAATTATACAGTATTCTTCACAATCCACTCCCTAATAAATGTACTGCTCAATTTTGTCTGCTTCAACATCTCCATGTCCTCATGGTCCAGCTTTTCGCTTTCTGAAGAAATAACGTCGATGACGAATGTACGGAGGGGCGGCAATGACTCGGCGGAACGTTTTTTGTCAACTGTATGAGTGTCAGTAGATAATTCCAGAAAACCGTTGAGGTACTTACTTGACTCTGCACCGGCCAGAGTCTCCACACTGACTACCAGCGCCTGAATATTAGGATCCCAACCAGTAGGACCATACACATCCCGTATTGCAACGAATTCATATTCAAGGTCAGGGCGGAAGAACTGCAGGAAAGAGCGTGTTCTTTCAATGCGTACGGTCATTGACTGCAAGACATGCTTATTCGATTTATTCTTCAACAGCTCGTCATCTCGAGGATAAGTTCAGTCGCAGGAGCGACAGCTTACAAGGCATTATCGTACCTGTAATACCGATAATAACCTTGCTACTGGCTATCCAGGCTGCCATGCTAAGCAGTATTTTGTGTCCTGCATGCAAGTGATCGAAAGTGCCACCAAGCGCGACGACAGGGTAGGATGACGAGGAATTATCACCGCTAGGAGTGACATATACGGAATGCTTCACGTGAGCTTCGATGGATTTATCTGGAACGACAAATACTTTGGGAAGGGTCTCAATAGAGTCAGGGATATGGGGTACAGGGGGGTCTTGATGATTCCACCATGAGGAGTGTGTACGGAATGAGTGGAGAGGGACTCACCGCCCTGGATTAGGAAGCACATATCCATACCACTCCCAAAATTAGTTGGGAACCTTTCTGAAGGATCCTTGAGCATGATGCTAACGTCCAGTAAGATCTTTCCCAAGTCCTGTGCTGTCTTGGTTGCTTTGACATAGACGTATGTTAGAAGCCTTTGGACATTATCCCACTGTTTTACGCGGTTGGATGGCGATTCTGCTGTACGGAATAGCTGAGAAACCAAGACGATGGTTAAGGCTTCTGTAGTAGCCGCGGTGACAGAGGCAATTGCTGGGCCCAGTTGATGAGGGGCACTGATGTCGTGTAGATGGGCAAATAGGACAGTACGTTTAATACTGCTCATGTTAGAAAATCTACTTGCAGGATGCTCCGAAAGCAATGCTTTTGTTGTTTCTTATCCATTGGCTAGTGATGGCGAACTTGGATGACACGATCGTGGTCAATACTCTAAACGTGAGAAAATAGATACTATTTTAATCAAGATGTGTGAGAACCAATTTCCCTTTCCAACCATACATTGGCACGACGTGTACATTGGCATGATGGGTGGACGTCAACGCCCTCGACGTTCTCAACGGCCTACTCGAGTCTTACACCTTCCTTTCTCTATATCGCGCTCACCGCGCTCACTAGTTGAGACATTTGCTTCAAGCTGCATTCTACAGAGTCACCAATTAATAACAGCGGGCGGCTAGCTTCTCCTGTTAAATAATATTTTCATGGCTTCATCACCACAGATCTCACTTTCTTTCTCCCCATCTTCTTCGAGCTCTGTCACTGCTCCGAAGAAGCACAGTCCTACTCACTTACCATTACCGTCATCAAACTTCAGCGCTGCTCCTGTACAACGCCTTCAGGACAGCGCGCAGGCTCTTCACAGGTCTGCAAGCTTGGGTTCAAAATCAGCAAGTTTACACAATCGTTCCACATCTAATGCTGCTACTCTTAAAACAACTTCCTTACCTCGGGGTCCCCGAGCCTATCCCTTGTCATCCCCTCCGACTGTCACCACTTTTCAACTACCTCAAATCCCAATTCCAAGTACAACTCATGCAGGTGGCATTCTACCTTCCTCGTCATTCTTTCACCCTTCTAGACCAATTCATTCTCGCCCTTCATCATCCATATCCTTGACCTCTAATGATATCCTTCCTCATTTCCATTCGGCTCCCCCAGACCAACACCCTTTATCTAGCTTGACTACCCGTATCTCTCACGAGTCTGACCTGAGGAGCTATGGCGATCCTGCTTCCATAAGAGACGCCAGTGGTCAACTATCTAAACGGCTAAAACAAAGTCGTGAACCTCTACTTCCCCTCAACAACAAACACGTTGTTGCAAGTGCTAGCGCTCCTGTCCGCACTTCCATGCACTTAGATCCTTCTTATAAGATAACTAGTACAAACCGAATGCGAACCAGCTTCGAACGCATGTTCCGCGGTCTCAGCTTCGATAGCATAGGGAGACCGAGTAGTAGCCTCGGTCATACTATGAGTCCCCGCTTATCTTATGCAGAAGAGCACTCACCTGTTGATAGCTTATCACCCCGTCCACACCGAATAAAATCTTCTCCTTCCCCGCCACTCATTCGCATTGCTTCTAGCAATTCTCGATCATTCTCTCCAACTCCAAACCATATCTTTATATCAGTCCCTCCCGATAAT